CCCCCCCCCAAAAAAAGGGTCCAGGACAATTCTCTGCCACCAACTGTCCATGGGGTGTTTCGCCACGGACACGTCTGGGGTGGGAGCAGGGGGTGATGTGGGGCTGTGCTGCTCATCTGCTGAGCTGGGGAGAGTTGTGCCCATAGAGGGCTGCACCAGTGTGGGGGTGTCCCGGTGTAGGGGTGTCCTGGTGTCGAGGTGTCCCAGTGTAAGGGTGTCCTGGTCTTGAGGTGTCCCAGTGTAGGGGTGTCCCGGTGTAGGGGTGTCCCAGTGTAGGGGTGTCCTGGTCTCGAGATGTCCCAGTGTAGGGGTGTCCCAGTGTAGGGGTGTCCTGGTCTCAAGATGTCCCAGTGTGGGGGTGTCCCAGTGTCAGGGTGTCCTGGTGTAGGGGTGTCCCAGTGTCGGGGTGTCCTGGTCTCAAGATGTCCCAGTGTGGGGGTGTCCCAGTGTCAGGGTGTCCTGGTGTAGGGGTGTCCCAGTGTCGGGGTGTCCTGGTCTCAAGATGTCCCAGTGTGGGGGTGTCCCAGTGTCAGGGTGTCCTGGTGTAGGGGTGTCCCAGTGTCGGGGTGTCCTGGTCTCAAGATGTCCCAGTGTGGGGGTGTCCCAGTGTCAGGGTGTCCTGGTGTAGGGGTGTCCCAGTGTCGGGGTGTCCTGGTCTCAAGATGTCCCAGTGTGGGGGTGTCCCAGTGTCAGGGTGTCCTGGTGTAGGGGTGTCCCAGTGTAGGGGTGTCCTGGTCTCAAGGTGTCCCAGTGTGAGAGTGTCCCAGCGTACAGGTGTCCTGGTGTTGGGATGTCCTGATCTTGAGGTGTCTCAGTGTAGGGGTGTCCCAGTGAAAGGGTGTCCCAGTGTAAGGGTGTCCTGGTGTAGGAGTGTCCCAGTGTCAAGGTGTCCCATCAGTGACTTTGGCAGCAACTTGTCCTACAGGGAGCTGGTGGCAAAGAGTTGTCCCTTCCCACCCTGGAATGGGGCGACCACCCACGGGGTGGGCACTGAGCTCCAGCTCCTGCCTCCCCAGCCTGCAGTGATGCCCTGGGTTGGGGGTTGGGAGGTGGGGGGGGGTGTCTGTGTGCCCTCCCTGCCCCCCCCCCCGAGTGCCACCCCCTCGGTGGGACCCCGGGGTGTGAGGGGCTGGGCTGTGGTGCTGACACGTGGCTTTGTTCTCCCTCCAGATTTCGGGGTGGGCCTCAGCTCCTTCCACACCAAACTGCCCCCGGAGATGGAGAATTCCCTCTACTCCCAGCTCTGATGGCCCCAGCTCCCCAGGGACTGCTCCTGCCTCCCCCATCCCTCCCCTCCAGCTGGGCAGGGGGGCACTGCACAGCCCCCTGCTGGGACTGGGACCCCTTCCCCATCACCAAACTGGGAAGGGGGTGGATGGTTTGGGGGGGTTTGTTGTTTTTTTTTTGTTCCTCTTGAATTTTCTTCCCCTCCCTTTTGGATTTTGGGAACTCCTGAGCACCCCAGAACCCCTTGTGTTCCCCCACCCCCTTCCCTGGAAGGTTTTGTTGCTTCAGCTCTGGGGGGGCTGGGGGAGATTGCTCAGGAGTTAGTGGACTTGTCTGGAATGTGGTTTGGAAATAATAAATGGGAATTGTACAGGAGCAGCAGCTGGAAAAGCCTCTGTGGGTCCCCCCAACAGCTGGGGGA